CTGTTTGTGGTATGTTTGTTGTATGTTTGTATCCTCTTCCCTGTTTGTTGTATGTTTGTTGTATGTTTGTATCATCTTCCCTGTTTGTTGTATGTTTGTTGTATGTTTGTATCATCTTCCCTGTTTGTTGTATGTTTGTTGTATGTTTGTATCATCTTCCCTGTTTGTGGTATGTTTGTTGTATGTTTGTGTTCTCTTCCCTGTTTGTTGTATGTTTGTTGTATGTTTGTGTTCTCTTCCCTGTTTGTTGTATGCTTGTTGTATGTTTGTGTTCTCTTCCCTGTTTGTTGTATGTTTGTATCATCTTCCCTGTTTGTTGTATGTTTGTTGTATGTTTGTGTTCTCTTCCCTGTTTGTTGTATGCTTGTTGTATGTTTGTGTTCTCTTCCATGTTTGTTGTATGTTTGTATCATCTTCCCTGTTTGTTGTATGTTTGTTGTATGTTTGTTGTATGTTTGTATCATCTTCCCTGTTTGTTGTATGTTTGTTGTATGTTTGTATCATCTTCCCTGTTTGTGGTATGTTTGTGTTCTCTTCCCTGTTTGTCGTACTGTATGTTTGTTGTATGTTTGTGTTCTCTTCCATGTTTGTTGTATGTTTGTATCATCTTCCCTGTTTGTTGTATGTTTGTTGTATGTTTGTTGTATGTTTGTATCATCTTCCCTGTTTGTATTTATGTGTTTTTTGTCTCATTTGACAGTTCAGGGGAGCGGCCATGTTTGTTCACACAGAGACAGGTGTACCTTTGCTCTCCAGTTTGTGCACCATAGAGATGTGGTTGAGGGCAATGATAGCGAGCATGGTCTCAGCTCTGGACAGGGTCAGACACTTCTTGAGGACGGTGGTGACCCCGCAGGCCACCAGCTGCTCTGCCAGGCTCTTATGGTTGGAGATGAGCATGATGACCACCAGCAGTCCATTCCTCACTGACAGCATACAGCTACAGAGACAATGAGTGGTCAGCACACAGTGACCAGACTCAGGAGAAGGAAGCTGCAGCACTAACGTACCCTTTGGTCTTCAGCATCAGGTCAATGGCATCAGGGATGACAGCCAGCAGACCTTTAGAGCCTTCAGGAGTAGCTGAGCCAATGCTGGCAAATATCTCCAGCATCATCTGTGTGCCGGACTCAGAGAGCGGGAGGCTGCTGCCCAGGCTGCGCAGGTCATGTTTACTGGCACCAGTGATGACCTTCAGAGTCTGGGAGGAAGGTCAGAGTCATCATCATCATCATCATCATGCCTATAAACAGAGACGTTCCACTGGTTCTCACCGCCAGTGCCAGCTGCTGTATGTGTGCCACAGAGGAAGACTCCTGCATGCAGGACAGGATGGCTTTGACTCCGCCCTCAGTGGCGAATGACACTCTCCACTCAAATTTCAGCATGAGAAGGTGGATGAGCCTCAGTGTGCTGAGCACCACATCTCTGCAGGAGGAGCCCAGGAGCTCTACCAGCAGCTTCAGCACCTTGTCTCTGTGGAAACAAAGACAGTGTCACAGGGTGTTTTTACAGAGGAGCATGTCCCACAGCTACCTGAACTTTGCCCTGAGATGAGACCTACAGGAAAGTGTTCTCCCTGGAACAGAGTCAGTGAAAGAGCTGCAGAACTTCCTGTGGTCAGAGATGATCAAACATGAGAGCAGCTTCTGGTTTCTCACCGTACGGTCTGAGCAGAGTCACTCCTCATGGAGTTCTTGTCCTGAGAGCTTTTCTCCTCCAGCAGTCGGGTGATGAAGAGGACAGCAGCTAGCTGCTGAGCAGAGTCTGAGACAGAACCCCCCTTCTTCAGGATGTCCACTACTTCCCCCAACTTCTCCAGCAGGGTCTTCTTCCCCTGCACCCGCGGGTTGTTAAACACTGCAGGAAAACAAGAGAAAAGTTACTTCCTGGATGCCTTCATGTCTGAAGACAGGAAAACACACCTGAAAGATCAAAGCAGATTCAAACAGCCAATAAACTGCTTATACATTATATTTAAATATATATTTTTATATCTTATATTTGAGGTCTTCATGTTCAAAGGAACTTTTTGGAGTGTGACAGCCCCTGCTGCTTTAAGATGTGTTTTACAGGAGCTTGGTAGAAAAGTCGTTACCAGAACAAAACCTTTTAATTACCATTTAAAAAGTCTGTCAGTCTTCTGTCTAAGTTCTGTATTTGAAGAGTTGTGTTAGTCTGCACATTTCAGTCATAGCTGGAAAGATGCCAGAATAAGAATCTTTGTAAAGTCCTCCAGCCTGTGTGTTTAAGGCCTCGGGCAGAGGGGGGCACTAGGCCCCTAAAGCACTACAGCACTAATCGTGGACCTACAGTTCTTGTTTGAGCCTTACGGCTTTAGGTAATGTTTTGAACCATATGCAGATTTGCACTTTCTAAATTAAAAAATTCAGTAACGGTAAATTAATTATTTCATTATCATCGTTATCTTCAACATTGGAGGGAGAAAGCCATCTCCAGTGAAAACAACGCAGAACCACTGTAACTGAACAGAACCCCCTCTAGTAACAGTTGACTGTCCTTCTGGCTCAGGCTCCTTTAAGAGACAACTCCCACATTTCTTTGTGTTTACGTGGCAGGAAGCAAGTGGAGCTACGTCACTAGGCGACACTCCCAGGCCTAGTCTTTCTCCACCGGTGGACTGTTGCAGTTCTGATTGGTTCGGCTTCTGTGTCTCCAGGTTCTGACCACATTCAACCACGCAGTTTGTACCTCCTCTCTGATGGTTCCAGGTAGAAGAAGTACATCATGCTTACGTCAGCAGAATGCTGCCTGTGGATTAGCTCTTATGGTGCGTTCACACCGAACGCGATTTCAGCTTCAAAATCGCAGCCAACGCTGAAGTCTGAAGCTTGTGCACTTTGAGGTCAGCCGCAGGACAGTTGTTGAAGCGCCGCACGGCGACAGCCGCCCCGCCCCTCCCTCCTCTGTGGGGCTGTTTAATGTCGGACGAGGAAGTGGCTTTGCTTTATTTACAGACAGC